AATGGACACTACACAATTAGCAAACTGTAAAGGTTAACTAAATATCCGGACTTATTTTGGATTTAAAAACAACAACAAATAAATGCAATGATTAATGAATTATTTTGCATAAACAAAACTGCTAACCCTGTACCTTAGATCTGTATAAACTGAAATACATGTGATTCTTGTATTAGTTTGTCCATTCATATTTTAGTCTTTAGGGCACCAAGATCAATCGCAATAGAAATCGCAATTTGAATGGACTGCAGTTATTAAGCGCTATCATTTCCTCCACAAACACATTATTCTGTCTTATTTCCATAAAAACTGCAAACTCTGTAGTCCAGACGTGTAAAAACATGTCCTGAAATGTAATTCTTGTATTAGTTCGTCATTTCATATTTCAGTCTTTTTGTCAATTCTTCTCGACCTGTTTTGAAATGTGAACTTTGACCAAAATCATATCAAAGAATAAATCGCAAAAACCTCAATTAGATCTTTCCAAATCTTTCTCTTAATCCACAAATCAATGCAGCCTCACCAGAGTTCCCAACATTCCACTCTGCTCCGGGGAATACTGTGGGTTTCTGCTGATCTTTGGAGTTTTTTTGTTGGGAGTGTAACGCACCATGGACGTGTTTAAAGCCCAGATAATCAATGGCTGCACACAACACAGGAGTGAATGGGCCATTTAAAAGCACTGTTTACTATGGTCAGATATCTCCTCTCAGCACAATGCAAATTAGTGCTAACAGCAGCTACCGTTGTGCTCAGGACGGAGGAAGAGTCTGTTACTTTTACAGTTATATTCACTTAAGGCATCAAGTCGATGCTTCTTCTCAAACTTGTTTTTATCACTTTTTGTTTCTACGTAAGTTAAATTAACAAAAGCTGCAAAAGTGGACAATGGAGATGATTTCACTTTGCCAAAAATCTTCTACAGCAAAGCATTAGGTGTTCATATTCTTACATCTTGAACAATAATTTGAACAATAAACATTGACTAACTAACTAGTGCCTCTAAAAATGTATTTGAAACATTAAAATTCAATGAAACATCCAACAACTAAATGATTATCAAGCATTTCCTTTTTCTTAATATTTGTCTTTTGCTTTAAAGGTGCAATATAACTTTTCTGGTGTCTGATTTGCTACTGGCTTTTCTCCATAGATGTGCTTTTTTTTTTTTTGGCTGGAATGTCCCACAGTATTAGTCAGGCCTGTGTCACCTAGTGCCTCCGCTCAGTTTAGTTTCTCTCCAGCGACTAGGTCAGGAATCGGAATACACTAGACCAGGGGTGGGCAAACATTTTGACTCGTGGGCCACAAAGGGTTCTGAAATGTGACGGAAGGGCCGGACAAGGAGCAGATGGATGGAGTGTTTTGGTAATCCACCTCATAAGAGAAAAAAATAATACCATGGGATATGTAGAAAACATGTGCTTGAATTTCAATTGAAAATCATTACAAAGCATTACAACTTTTGCTATTATCATTTATTCAAGTTCGGCAGGCCAGATTAAAAAGACTGAAGGGCTGCATTTGGCCCCCGGGCCGTAGTTTAGTTTTAGCCTGCACTAGACGGTTTCCAAGAACCCTAGAAGTTGTAGACCCTGTCCCGGCCAATCAGTGAAGAGCTGAACCAACCTGAGTTGCGATAGCAGACTGCATACACTTTCCTCCTTTGGACTTCCTTTAGTGAAATACAAACAAAATTTTTTATTGTACCTTTAACTCACAAGTTCACCTCGCAGAAATGACAATGATAGTTGACACAGACATGTTCACTCTCTGCTTTGTTTGCTGTTGTGCCTGAAATTACTTGGACACCACTGAGCGTCCCGGCGCATTACATACGTCACGACCAAATAGCAGCGATTGTTTAAATTAAAAAAAGTACCCACCTACCATCGAGCGAACGAATCCTAATTCTGTGAGGTCTGTTTCCATGAAGTGAAACTGGTTGATGAATCAGGCGAGTTCTTCTCTTCTTCACAAATTTATCCAGTAACTTGGTCTGGTTGCATAATCTTCTTGTCAAGATTGGAAATAGATGTGTTTATTGCTATAGGCTATAAACTAAGGCTTAACGTTAAGCAGTAACATTTCCAGGAAGATAAGCAGGTTGTGTATCCTGTGCTGGAAAAAAGTTCCATAGTGTACCTTTTAACCTTGGGAACACCATAATTTGTTTGTGCATAGTGTTTATTTAATGATTTACCTGATAACATAATTGAAACCTCATCAGAAATAGTAACATACAGTTGTACAGTAGCTCAGTTGGTAGACTGTCCATTGATTCAAAGGTTTGCGGTTTGAATCCCACTCTCGATATAAAAACATAATTAACTGAGCGGTCAAATCTAGTGGAGGTGCGATTCCAGCTTCCACAGATGAATGCTGTTGTTGTGTTTTTGTTCAAGACATTTCATAAGACTGTGCAATTGATTTGAATTTTGATCTCAATTTCAATTTGTGTGTCAAACAATCTCCAAACTCATATAATCAAGTTGAAACAATTATATGAGCCCATTTGTAGATATTTGTAGCCTATATTTATTGTCAGTTTCGAAGTTTTGCGTAAATGATCAATAACAAAGTGTTTTTTGAGAGAAATGCTGAATAAAGGCATTATGTAACAAAAAAATAATCATCTGAATAATCGTGATTTCAGTATTGACCAAAATAATTGTGATAATGATTTTTTCCATAATTGAGCAGCTCTAACGCTTCGCCCGCCTCGCCTTCACTGTCTTTTGTGTGTGCGAGTTGGTCAGTGGTACCTTGACGTAAAGCATTTTGAGTCCCTCGAAGGTGGAAAAACGCTCAATAAAAATGTGACCTCAAAAATGTGATTCAGTAAATACTTTTCTACCATTAAAATAGTTTAATCGTAGCAGCGTTAAAAGCGTCGTATCACTTTTTACTTAGTCACTACACTTGAGTAATGTCCACGTGTCAATATGGAAGCGAACAGTCATCTCAGTTGTGTATATTTTCGACTCCTGAGCCTCTTGTAACGGAGCTGGTGTGTGGTATGTGAGAACGACATTCCTTATGTAGTTGCCACACTCAAAACCTGTTAACATCGCTCAACATTTTTTCATATTTCCACTTTCTGGGTATAGCTCTTTTTACATTCAGAATAGATCATAGATAGCGACGACTGCTAGCTCCACTGGGGTCTGCATTTCCAGCTTGCCGAGTAGATTTATCTGTTTGTATCCATTATTTCTCCTCAGGGCTGCAGGCTTTTGTTGTTTTAAATGTATTTCTGGCATCTTACCTTAGGCTGTATCCTTGTAAAGAATGCAGCTCTTTTATTCGTCAAAGCAGTTATTGTTGAACTACACAATGCTCTTTCTTTACTCAGGTTTTCAGGCAGATTCAGCTTTTGTCATCACTCCAACATCAAATGACACAGGAAGTAATAGACGTTTCACAATAATGTATTTTTGAGGTAAAATAATTGTACAGAAAACATTTTAATGTCACGTATACTGGCGGCAATCCACTTTTCTTTATTAATTTAATTTGTAATAGATTTCTGTAGTTGTATTATATTATGATTTTTTTGCGCTCTTCACTTTCCTTTACCAAAAATATGTGTTGATGTGCGTAGTTCAGTGGTTTAATAATAACATTCACAATCAAATATTTTTTGTGAACCTAACATTATATAATATTTGCACATTTATAAATTCCTAGAACAATGAATCTCAAATTGTAGACTTTTTCCGGTGGTGCTGAAGGTCGCACAGTTCTGCATCCACATTTTTGTCTTGTTTGGTTTAGTCCTTGTTTAGAACTGATTTAAGCCTGGTTTAGTCATGTTAGGGTCCACTTTAGTTCCACCACTGACCTGGTTTAGATCAGGTGGTAGTTGGAAAACCAAATATTTTCTCAGAACAGTACTTGGTGTGAAAAGGACAAGATGTGGAATTACTTTGTTTTCGGAGTGAAGACTTTAATCCCCCATTTTACAATACGTTAAAGCTCTGCAGTTATTTTTTGGCCAATATATTGGGCCCATTTTGTTTCTTTTTGCTCAAATGATATCATTTTAATTTACCTACAGTCTCTTTTTACCCCAAGCCTTTAAGGGGCTATGTAGTCACACTTTAGCAGTTTTATTTTTGTATTAAAGTGCTCATATAAACCTTTGTGTGTACCCTTTAGGTAGCAGGTTAGCCTAAACAAAATATCAGCCTGTGGTAGTGATTTAAAGCCTGAAAAGTGCAAATGTCTGATACTGATCTATCGGTCTATGTCTAGTCGACTTTGCAGAGTTGCACCTTTTGAGAAGCTGTAATTCCAAAAAGTATGGCAACCAATCATATCAACAATATCCAAATCTCTCAGTACGATATTTTCACGATATACGTCTGACGGTACGATATTTACTAAGATATTTTCTGGAGGCTGTGAACAAAACTGTTAATATGCTACTTTTTCCTCTTTAAGTGCCTTGACAAGATTTAATCCAAAGAACTAAGACTTAAAAGTGCTTAGAACTGTTATTTATTCTTGTAGTCTACACTGAAATGGAGCAAAGGATCATGGTCTATGTAGTTCCCTTTAATTTAAGCAAAGAGACTTGTAATTCGATATATTGTGATGGTCCACGATATTATTGTGAGAATTTTGACGATAATACACGATACTTCTGTTATTGTTATATCCCTAAATGCATGAGATGAAATTATTTAAATGAATGAATTTGTGCCACCATAGTCTTAACAAAATCCATGTGAAATCTCTTCTAGGCTCGGAATCTGCATCTCCCCAAAGACCACTTGTACGATTTGATTTATTATTTGTTTATTTATTCGCTTGGGAGTGAGAAACACAATTTTGCTTCTTCATATGTTTCGTATGAAGAATTGACAATAAACTTTTTAGAACTGAATTGAAATTTGAATTGAATTTGAATCCGTTCTTACTCTTGAGGACCCAGTCTTGTGTTTTCTCTTGTCCTGTGAAAATGTTGGTTTTGACAGTTGTGTTTTCTCTTGCAGATCGCGTGCTGTGACTTCTGGCTTGGTGGGAGGGTCTCGGTCACCATGACAGACTAAAGGGAGCTCTGTCTCTGCTGGACATGGCTTTTTTTGTACTACTCGCCCCCTGCTACCTGCCACATGAGTCCTCCAGCCTGTGAGCGACCACATCAGCTGTTTATGGAAACTACAACTGCTTTCCCACATTTGAGGAATTAACCCGGGATAACCAACCCCATCCCCCCTCCACCCTCTGGAAATTGGGACTTTTCTTTGCGATCGGGCGGAGGAGGTAGAAATAAAACAAATACAAAATGGCGAACAACTCGTACAGCGGGGTGAAGAACTCCCTGGTGGAGGCCAATCACGATGCGGAGTTTGGCTGTTCGCTAAAAGAACTGCGCGCTTTGATGGAGCTGAGAGGAGCAGAGGCGCTGGGAAAAATCGGGGAAAGTTACGGAGATACGCAAGGACTCTGCAACCGGTTAAAAACATCACCTGTAGATGGTAAGTTACACACAAATGCACTAACACAAAGGGGAGAAGGAGTAGAAATGTTGACCAAAATTTGTATTAGATAAGCACAACAGCAGAAAGGAGAAGTTGGTGGGAGAGTTAGCTGAAGATATGGTATTTTTTTGGTATTTATTAAGGACAAAATTGCCACACATGCTGAAAATGATCTTGTAAGATTTATTTTTCATGTTTTAATTAGATAAAAACAGCAGAAATATTACGTAAATAAAAAAAGGTGGGCCCAAAATTGAGAACTGGACAATTTATTATAAATATTTATTATAAATAAATTGTATATTTATATTATTATAAACAATGTCAAAATCTCATCCTAGCTCATGATAGTAGTTACAGGTATATAATATTTACTTTTACGTGGTACAAGATCACATAGTTGGCCTGTTTTTTTTTTGGTTTTTTTACATAGCTGTTCATACACACTCGCTCTCAAGTATTCACGATACAATGATAAGTAGATCGAAAGGGAGTGAGAAGAGGAAGCGGTTATATGTAAAGAGGTAGATTAAACTCATCATTCAAAAACTGAATCTGTCTTTATATAAGTACATGGATTCCTAGTACTTTTCTCTGTATAAATAGTTGCTTTGTAAGAACTCCTGTGCAGATGTAGTGCAGACTGAGTCAGGTACATAGAGAAACAATATAGTTTTGAGATCTTTTGCCATGCCCCCTTTTTAGTCAATCACTCGATTGGCAGGACGTGTCTTTTAGTTGACCAAGAATTTCATTAGTCGACTACAGCCATAGGAAAGAGTGGGATATTACAACAAATAGGCTTAAATAGTAGGCATCAAAGCACTAAACCAGGGGTGTCATACTCAAATTCACAGAGGCCAAAATTAAAACCTGGCACTAAGTTGTGGGCCAAACAAAATATTCATCTGCATGTTTTCTCTTCTTTCGAGATATGTAATGTTAAACCTTTTCTTATTGAAATAAATGTTTAATAATAGTTTTGCTTAAACACTGAATCCAGAACAAGCATAATGGAAAATAATAACAAAATTTTGTCTCTATAGTCTATCTGTAGCCAGCGGGCAGCTCTAATACTTATTTGATATGATCTCATGGACCAAATATAATTATATCACGGGCCAAATTTGGTCCCCGGGCCTGAGTCTGACATGTCTGCACTAAAAATTATTGCATTACTGGTGCTTTGAATTCACAATTTTGAAAACCAAAATATATATATATATAGTGATTGGGATTAGATTTCCAATTTACATTTTCAAATGACGATTGAGTACACAATAATACAGTATTGACTTTGTGGTCTGCTGTATCGATATCTCACCATGAGTATTTTTTAGTATGTTTTACAAATTATTTTGTGCTTGTTTGTTAGGAAGGAAACTTTATGCAAAACATTTCACACATTAACTTTTCACATTAACATTTTGCAGGAAGTGGTTTTACAAAGAGATGTTGTGAAAATATTTTGTTTAATAATGTCATTATAAGTTCTTAAAAAATTAGTATTTTATGTCTCACAGATCGTGATAATTTCCAGCCCTAGTTTACGACGTTTGATTAAAGGTGCATTGTGTAACTTTTCTGTGGAGGCGCTGTCAAATGCTTTTCTTCGTGGAGATGTTATTGCTTTGTTTGGAATGTTTCACAGTATGGCATTAAGCTTTTCTATCTTCACGGAAACCAAACCAGACCAAGTTACAGGTCAGATCTGTGGAGAGGCGACCCCGCTCAGTCAGAATTCCAGTTTTTTGAGTATTTTTGAGCAATAAAACCACCTGTATTACAATAAATGTTTAATGTCATACTGTGGAACTTTCCAGGAGAGCGATGGCATGTCCATAGAAGCAAGCAGATGGCAGACCCTCCACCAGAAAAGTTACACAATGCCCTTTTAAAGACTGAAATATGAACTGCTAACTAAAACAAGATTCCCATGCATTTCAGAATGTTTGTAGTGTTATCCATAAAAACAAGACATTTTGTTGTTTTGTTGTTTTCAGAGAAGATGATTATTCCATAAATTATGATTCGCAGCCTGTGTGATTCCATAATTGAGTCGACAGAAATGGCAATTTTGATTTGCTTGTGAAATACTGTGCAGTTCTAACAGGCACTCAGCCTAATGTGAAACAAATGTGTAGAGATAAGGCTGCTTGAGTTCACGTTCAGAGGGTTTTGACACAGCAGTTACAAGGCTTGTTCCACATCTTATTTTCTGTTCTTTTCAAAGGTTCTCGATCACACAAAATCAACTCTCATGTGCTTTAAGTCATGTTACAAAGTTGTTACCTCCTCAAAAACATATCTGGAGTTGTGTTGTGTTTCATTTACACACATTTGCGCAATCCTTTATTATTAGTCTGTCTACATCTCCAAAACCTTGTGGTGTCATAAAGTGGTAGTTTTCAAGTTAACACTAAACTTTTACCTTTAGTTCAATAGAAACTGGCAATTTCAGGGCTGAAATTATCCAAATGATTCTAGAAAAGCTGTATGGTGTTTAAAAACATGTATGTATGACTTCGTGGTCTGCTGTATCGATATCTCACCATGAGTATTTTTTAGTATGTTTTACAAATTATTTTGTGCTTGTTTGGAGGAAGGAAACTCTATGCAAAACATTTCACACATTCACTTTTGTCGATTAAAAATGGGTGTATTTCACATTAACATTTTGCAGGAAGTGGTTTTACATTTCCTGTATTACCGCATGACATCACAAGGTGGAATGGAGTGTTTCCCATTTCAGAGAAGAACTTGTGTGTTCTTGTTGACGTCAGGCCCTTTTATTGATACGGTCTATTTAAAAATTTGGTTTACTGGGATTATCCTGCTTTGTGTCAGTGGCATACAGTAGTTATTATTGTATAGTACCGTATTTTTCAGACTATAAGGCGCACCGAATTATAAGCCATATTAAGATAAACAAAAGGGCTATACTTGAGACTGATCCTTAGCCCAGGCATCCACAATCCATTGGAAGATTGTGGGGTAATTCGCCCAGCGTTGTGTTGGTGAATGTGAATTATGAATGTGAATGTGGGTGGATAATTTAAAGTTATTCTTTATTTTTTCAATTTCCTACAAGGAGGACTCAAATATACATTGAGTAATAATGTGTTTAATTCAGCTTTGCGCACATTTGTTTATGTTTTACAGAAACAAAACTGAAAACCACATGGCTAATTTGCATAAACTATAAGCGCGATGTGGCTTCGAAGCTTAACAAAGTCGTACTAAACATTTTGACTAGGGGTGTAACGATATCCAATTCTCACGATATGATATCGTCACAGTATGAACCTCACGGTATGATATTTATTGCAATATCGTGGGAAAGCTCACGATATGGTGGGGAGGCTCATGATTAGGAATGTAACGATATTCAAAGCTCTTTGTACGATATTTTCACTATACATCTCACAGTACGATATTTATTGCGATATTTTGTGGACAAAACTGAATATGCTACTTTTTCCTCTTAAAATGCCTTGACAAGACTTAATTCAAAGAACTAAGACTTAATAATGCTTAGAACTGGTCTTAGATCACGGTCTATGTAGTTCCCTCTGTTTTTTTGCTGCACCATAACTCTTCATTTAAGCAAAGAGACTTGTAATTCGATATATTGTGATGGTCCACAATATTATTGAGAGAACGTTGGGGATACAACACCACGATATTTTGATTATTGTTACATCCCTAATTTTGGCAGATTTTTGAGCACCGTGTACTACATAAAATCGGTTCGAGGTCAGTAAGCACAACCAGAATTAATACATAAGGCGCACTGTCGAATTTTAAGAAAATTTACGGATTTTAAGTGCACCTTATAGTTGGAAAAATTCAGTAATATTATTGTTTATCGCAGTATTCCTCTGTTGCAATTTATCGTGTTATTGTGAGAGGCCTAGTTTGACATTAGACTCTGAAAAATGCCGTCACATGAAATGGATGGTGGTTTTCAGAGTCCATGTGATCAGAGGATCTGCGCTGGTCTTTTGTGGTGCTGTGAGCTTAGTCTCTGTGTCATTCAATCCGTGATCTGCTGCTTTGTGCCCTGAGTCGTGACATCACTTCCTTGAAACACTCAGAGGGAGGACAGGTGCTGGGCAGGCTGGATCTGACCTGGACCAGTCCTGCTCTATTTTAGTGGTGTGTCCCTCGCCCCCTCCCACCCTTCCTCTCCCTCTATCCCTCCTGCCCTCTCTCTCTCTCTCTCTCTCCTCCTCTCTCCCCTACTCTTTCTCTCTCTCTGTTCCTCTCTGCCATACTCACTCACTCTCTATCGTTCTATTTCTTTTTCTACCTATCTCTTTCTTTCTTACTCTCCCTCTATCCCTCTCTCGTTATCCCTCACTCTCTTATCCCTCTCTCTCTCTTTCTCTTTCTTACTGTCCCTCTTTCTTTCTAGCCCCTGTCTCTTTCTCCCTTCCCCTCTCTCTCTTCCACTCTGTCCCTCTCTTTATCATTCTGTTTCTCTTTCTACTCATCTATCTCTCTTTCCCTGTTTCTTACTCTCCCTTCTATCCTTCTCTCTCTATCCCTCACTCTCCCTATATCCCTCTCTCTCTCACTTCTCCCTTACACTCTCGATCGTTCTGTTTCTCTTTTTATCTATCTATCTCTCTTCCCTCTTTCTTACTCTCCCTCTACCCCTCTATCTCTCTGTCCCTCACTATCTCTTTATCCCTCTCTTTCGCTTTCTTACTGTCCCTCTTTCTTTTTAGCCCCTTTCTCTCTCTATCTCTCCGCCTCCTTCCCTACCCCTGCTGTCTCTCTTTCTTTCTCTCTATCACTCTTTCTCCAATCCTCTTTATTCCTCTCTCCTCCATTCACACTCTTTCTATCATTCTATTTGCTCTTTCTATCTATCTCTCACTTCCCCTCTTTCTTATTCTCCCTCTATTTTTGTCTCTCTCTCCCTTGCTTTCTCTGTATCCGTCTTTCTCTCACTTTCACTCTTTCCCTCTTTCTCTCTAGCCCTTTTCTCT